CGATTGGTCGGTCAGTTGGTCGGTTCGTTCGTTCGTTCGTTCGTTCGTTGCTGAGTAGGTTGTGTTGGTAGGTAGGTTGGTAGGTTGTTTGGTGTAGGTAGGTAGGCAGGCAGGTAGGCAGGTAGGAAGGCAGACGGACAGACCGACAGACGGTTCGACGGATGGACGGAAAGACGGACAGACAGACAGACAGACAGATAGCAGGCGCTTGTTTCTTATGTTTTTTTTTGTTTTGCGTGTATGGTGTCACGGTATAAATTGCATGCATGCATAATACATATATATACTTACACACATAGATACAGTGACACACACACATGAAAATTAATCACTTATCTCCTGATTTTCAAGTATGTATGTCACGTATGGAACCAAGCAGATCGAAGCAACTACGGCTTGTGGGAATTTCAGGTTTAGGGCTATGACTGCTTCAAACCCCAGAACGCGGGATTCGAAGTGAAACCCAGGGCACGAGATTTCGGATTTGGGTTTTCGGCTTAGTTGTCCAATATCCCTGTCAGCCTTAGTCCAAGCTGTTGTGTATGTGAATGTTCTTCGGTGTTGGGTCAAGTGCAGAACCTTGATCCTCCGCCCCGAGACCCTGAGACCCGGAAAACCTCAGCGCTAAAGCCTCAACGGTAAGTCCTAAAGCCCGAAAGCCGTAAGGCTTAGTCTTCGAATTTTGTGCAGAGAAAAGCCCACGACACATTTTTAGATTAGCCCCGGACAAGCCTGTCTTGCAATTCGTTTGTATATCCAAACAACCGACATCCTACGTCTGAACCTCTGTGCCTTTTGGTTTTGAGTTGGTATGAGAGCCTGATGTTCCCAAACCGTGAATGCCAAACCCTACAAACACCCTAGGCCCTGTACCTAGATTGAAACCTCCCAATAGCCCCAATAAGGGCTCTGTAATTGAGGATCCCGCTTAAGGTGGAGTCCTTAGTATAGCAGCGACGTCTTCTGGAAACCCAGAAAGGGCACCCTTCTTTCGAGAGCACTTAAGTTAGTTGGAGCAGGTGGACACGCTCGTGGAGGAAGTTGTGACCTTGCCGCGCGCTCGGTGTTCTCTTTCGGGTTTAGATTTAGAGGGGTTGAGTGTTTGGAGATTGAGGGTGGATGAAACCTTCTATCCCTAGCATAGCGAAACTTTTTACCGCCATATCAACAAAGCGTAAACTGCGAAGCCATAAACCGTGCGCTCTGAACCGATTGGTTTAGCTACGCTAAACCCTTAACCCAGATGCTCTCTTATATGCTTTAAGTATTGGTGCATCTGCTATAGGGAATACACCTTAGCATTTCACATGCTGTATTTCCGGAATACTGGAATATATCTTCGATCTCGATTTATGGTTTTGTTGTAATCTAAAGGGCTAAAGGGATTCCTCAAACTTCAAGGCACTACACCCCTGATCCCCGCAACCACAATACCCCAACCCCCTTTAGCCCAAACCCCCCAAACCTAAAACCGCCACCCCTTAGAACAGAGGTGGAACAGCTGGCAAAAGTCCTCCTTACCATCTGTATGGAGTCATATCGTCTCGTCCTCAAAGCCTGATCCCAATTCTCCAGGCCCTTCTATTGACCGCAAACCCTAAACCTACCAGACCCAAAAACCCAGCCCCCAAACCCATTGACCCACCAATTCGTAAACCCCAACCGCCTGGTGTAGATGCGCTTGTAGTTCCCGCAGAGAGGTACAGTATGATATACCCCATAACTGAATCTCAAGATTTTAGACGCCGAAACGAAAACCCAACCCCTAAACCCCTATGTAGACCGCAAGAAACCGGCCAATAACCTGTACACAGCCGATATATAGGAAGAACCCTTGTGAAGCACCAAAAAACACGATGGCTTCAGGGGGTTCTCCGTCCCTTCTCCCAGGCCGACGCAGACCCTGATTGCCCCAAGCATGGGAGCCCGGCACTCAGCTTCTTCCTGCTGCTTAGCGGTTTTACAGGGTTCCTTACGGGGTTTTATCAGGTTCTGTGTAAGTCGGGCTGAGGGTTTAGCAAAGGTACTGCTTCGTAACGTATGATACTGGTCCTGGACTTGAATTTTATGGTGGGGCCGTAACAACTAGAAAAATTGCTTGTGTGGAGGTGGAGGTGGTGGCATATTATTGTTTGGATTTAGGGGCGTCATTACTGATTATTCAGACCTCTAAACTCTATGATAGCAGTTTAGATTCAGGACCTCAGGTGTTTCAGCATATAGTGCTTTGTGATTGTAATTTAGTCTTCAGGGCTTAGGGGTTTTACGGTATGCTTCTTGGGGTTTAAGGCGTATGAGTTCTCGAGATCTTGGCTTCAGGGTCAGGGCCTCTGGGGCTTTAGGTGTCGTATGGATGGTTGCGAAGGCTTTACAAGGATATGGTATACGCGTTTATGCGGAATTCAGGGGTTTCGGGCTTTACTTGAAGGACCACGGGACTTAGTAAATAGAGTCACCGGGTTACAAGCAGGGTGATTTTGTCATGGCAGCTTATATCCCAAGTTCAGGCACTACAGCTAGCGCCTGAGCCTTAAAGCATAATGCCGCGCTTCAAGCCTAATGCCGCAATACCTGAAGCGCAGAGGCCTTAGAGGAACCCAAAACCCTAAACCCTAACCCCTAAACCCCTAAACCCTAAACCCTAAAGCCAATCCCCAAACCAACCCCAGATACATCCCCATTGAAATGCCGACCTCGAGGCCGGTTTCAGGTTCAGGGTCCCTAAACGGTCCTAAACCCTACAAACCCTGAGGGCCAAGACTGCGAAGGTAACCCAAACCCCACCAAAGTTGAACAGTTGGGAGTTTAGGATTTCGGACTTTGGATTTCAAAGCCCTAAACCCTATAAAACCTTAAACACCCGGCAGCCCTGAACCGGGCTTTCTTGGCAGGACGGAGTTGGAGAGGACGAGGCGAATGCGAGGAGCTCAGGATTGGAGAAGCGAGGGTCCCGCTTTTTTGGGGAAGGGGGCGGGGGGTTCGGTTGAGGGCCGTTGAGGGTTGAGGGTCATAGGCATTTCGGATGTGCTGTTTGGGCGTGCTTAGGGCTTGAGGGTATCGTTTCTAGGGCTTGCGGCTTAGACTTAGATTCTGGCTTCACGACTTGCTTGTCATCATCTAAGATTTGCCGGCTTCGGACTTAGACTTCGGGTTGCAGTTCAATATTCAGTGTCTAGCTGGACCTAAGTTTTCCAGTAGTGCCTTTAAGCTCTCTTTTGTTATCCGGTCTCCTATTCAAGACTGACGGGGCAAAGCGGCGCCCTCAGTATTACGGAGTTACTGTACCAGCTAACCTAGAGCGGCGATAAGTAAGGTGGAAATAGTTGCAAGTATATACTTACGTATAGCCGAGCCCCAATTATGTACGTATATCTTCCTAGGACCCGGGGTACTTGTAAGCGAAGTATGCATTTCTGATTAGAACCTGGCCTCACCCGCAGGAAGCCCAGAGTATTCCTGAAAGAGGGAATTTTGCCTTGACCACTGTGATGCGGGGCATGTTCTTTGATCACTGCATCGCAACCTTAAGCCAAAGATCCTGAAACCACAAGAATCCTTAAGCCTTTAGTTTCAGTTTTGGAGCTCGGATCAGGTTCCTGTTCAGGCTTCCGCCGCGGCAGGGACCAGCGCTTTCATGCAGATGCCTCAGAGGCTTAGAAGGTTTGGGACTTGATGTTTTCCATCCCAGGTCCCAAGTAGCTACAGGGTCGAAAGTGGGGCGTCTATGTCTGGAATGACGAGACTGGTCTGTGCAAGCATCCCCACGGAGCTTCTGGGATATGAAGTTTGGATCCCGGGATATGAAAATCGTCGTGGGGTTGAGAGCTTTACGGGTTCAGGGTTCACGGAATTTTCGCGGGTTTTTGATGTGTTGGTTGGGGTTTTGGGTTTAGGAGAGGTTTGAGTTTAAGTTGCTTGATCCCTGTAAGTGTCAGAGAGGCAAGCAACACGAAGCGCATTCGTGTATCTTCAGGATTTGTGGTTTGTTTTGGCACATGACGTAGGATTGCAGGTCTTGAGTTGGGAGTGCGACGGCAACGTTTTCTGTAGATTTGTTCGGCTTGCATCGTGCTCGAAGCCTCCAGCCCTGCTTCGTAGTTCCGCCAAAGCCAAAACATCCCAATCGAAGCTAGCTCTTGTCACGGCCTCTTGCAAGTGACCGCTGGGCATAGTCCTAGGTGGATCTTTTGTTCATGGGTAAATTTAAAGGCTATGGAAAAGATCAGAACCAACAACCTCCGCCTCTTCTGGAAGACGTGTAGCTGAGTGAGCTAAGCCACACAAATCAACTTTGTGTCATGTTGTCCACTGCTGCCTTGGAGCACAACTTAGGACACGTGCACGCAAAAAAGCCGCGACGAAAAAACGCACATGCATGCAGAGTAGTTTACACCATGAAGCCGACAGAATGTGTTTATGCCAGACTAGTCCTAGTTTGTCCAATCCTATTTAGCTCGAGCTTGGATTCAGACGGATGTTTGAAAGTTGACAAAGATGTCAGAAACATGTTGAGAAACAGTGCATAAACAACCTAAGTGACGAGACTTAGTGGAATCGGGGCACATACATCTGGGGCACCGGCCATCTCAGCGCCATGGGAGGGCAACGAAACCCTGAGCGTGCTGCGAAAGTGCGGGTGTTGTCCTCCTTGGCCCGCCAACATTGCCTGGAAACTGTAAACGATGCAGCCGCCCGAGCCAAAGTCGAAAAACTCAGCGGTGATTTATTCAATCTTCAGCCAACTGATGAAATACGACAGCAAGTGGTCGAAGCTACGGCAGCTTTCAGAGCCACATACCCAGATATTCAGCCGCAAGTCTTTCAAAACCCGGCCGACAACAAAGCTTGGAAGTTCTCTGCAGTACAGTTGACGTACAATTGCAGTCCAGGCGAGTTGGCTTCGCATGAAGATGACGTCTTGAGGGGACTGCTCAACCGCTTCGCTGGCTTTTTTGATCGGACTCTCAGAAGCTCTTCATGTTCTTGGCACGTCGGCTACCATGGAACGTGCATCACCAAGGCAGGTACACATGCATGCCTACCTCCATGTGGGAAAGAGTTGCCACCACCGTGGGCGTGAGGCCTTGGACGTTTTCAATTCTGAGGGTGTCAAGCCGCACCTCACCCCCAACACGGCATCTGACAAGTCCCACATGGGAGCCGTGCAGTATGGCCACTTTTACGTTGTGGTCAACAAGATCGGAACCATGCAGCTTGGCAATATTCCTAGCATGACGATTCTTCCAAGTTTGTTTAAACCATGCGGGTTCTGGTAATCATGTTCTTGCGGCTTGTGACCACGCAGACAGCCCAGATTCAACTACACGGACTTTGGCACTTTCAAGGCGTACAGGGTCGAGGGGTGGTGGCTGGACAACCTCTTGAAGTCCGGCAAGTTAACGCGTGAAACATACTTGCACTTAGCCGCTCGCGCTACAATTGGGTTCCAGAAACGTCTGGCGGATTGAAGGGCAGCTGAGCGATACCTGCAGCAGGAAGAGTCTTTACACGGTGAGGATTCGGCGCAACAGCATGCGCTTGAAGCGGCCATGCTGCCCATGAAGGTGTACCCCCAAGTGGAAGACTTTATCCAGCTTCATGATGGCCAGGCGAGGTTTCGGCGGCCCATCTTAGCCATCGTGGGGGGCACCCGATTGGGAAAATCTGTTTTTGCAGGACATGTCTGGCACCGGATCGGTGAAAGGCTGAACCTGGATGACTTCTTAGAGAGTCAGTCATCGGCCACACGAACGTCAGTTTGCTTCCCGGTTTAGGCTTTAGGCTTTAGCGCTCAGATTTTAGTCGGGGGCTCGGGTTTACAGGTTTGTCGTACATAGGAAAAATCTAAATTTGTGTAGATCTGACTTGGATTCTAGGGGTTGGAGCTTAACGGTTGCCTTGTGGCTTTCAAGGTGTTCCTGAGCCAGAGGCTGCGGCATATGAAGTAGCGCTTGCAGTAATCAGTGGTTTTGCACTTCGTCGAAGCCCAGCTCCCAATGAGAATGCAAAGCCTAGATTTTCTTGAAACTAAATCTGCCAGACGATCGTAGTCAGCAGCCCAGGCAGCCCGGAAGAATATGCATTCTACCAAAGACTGTACGTTAACAAAACTGAAAGGGTCATCCTTCCAAGCTTCACCTGGGTCCGAAGTTTTGCGGAAGGTCGGATTCTGGCCAGATGCCGCGCTCGCCGACGGATATGCCGGTGGGAAGACTCAGTCGAAGAAGAATCTTTAGGGTTTAGTTTCAGGGGGTACGGTTTCGGTCTCAGGGTTGTAGTACATCTTTAGCTTGTCTGAGTTACATAAGCCGTATGGAAATCCCAAAGGTTGACCTTGAGTTCAGCGAGCAAACTGAACAATTCGACAGTGCTTCGAGTTTGACATTCCGGGGCCAGGCGCCAACCTGGTCGGTTTTCAGAGGCTTCAACATCCAGAATTCGGGACCTGCAAAGCCCGGGGTTCAGGGTTTGGGCTTTGTGCGTGACTTCGAAGTTCAGAGTTTCATGCTTCCGGGTGTGACCTACTTAGAAGGAAGTGTATTGCCGATGGTCTCTCCTTTACCTCGCAATGAACACTCCTCAGGATATGTTCTAGGGTTTCAACTTGAAGGTATGTTGTGCCAAAGGCGCGGAACCCTCTCTAGCGCTAAAGAGTCTGTCTTGCTGGTTCTTCGAGGAGGACAGGGTCAGCGTGGCATCATTTCGCTACACAGTGTGTTGTCACCTGCTCACCGCGCCTGACCCGTTCCGACCTGGATGTTGCAGATGCACATGCGTTTGTTACGCGCGGGACGTGCAGGGTGCGCACGAAGTGCGGGCTGAGTGCTGGAAGGCGACGCTTGCCTGCCCATGTGTGGACGAAGGCAGTCCGACTTGTGGTCAGGCAATGACGGACATTGCTCCGTCAGATTGCCCAGTAATTAAAGACATGCCTTCCAAAATCACGAACGCTCGAAACCCCAAACCCTGCTTGTAGGATGCCAGACACCTTGCGGATCCATTGAAGGAGCCCGTAGAAGGTTGTTAGGAAGCTTTTGAGCAATGCTTACAACACCCTGCCAGATCCCAGATACAAAACCCGTTAAACGTACGTTGAAACCTGATTAGAGCCCCTTGCCCTCTCGAATCCCATAAGCCCAAGCCCTATGAAACTCTATAGGAACCCTGTAACACCCTCTTTTCCGTGCAAAGGTTCCGACAGAGCTTCCCTCCCCCACGCCCGGTGCCAAGGGAGGAACTCGGAAAGAGTCCGTTCAGGGATTGCTACAAGGGGAGAGGGCTTAAATGAGGTCTTGAGGTTCGAGTCTTTTCAGGGCTGTAGGGTTTGAGACCAGCAGTAATGATCAGTAATCTTTCGGTTTTCTTAGTACAAGTTTATGAGAACCTACTCCAAGACGTCATCTTACAGAAACCGGACCCTCAGACCTATCAACAATCATTCGGTTCGAAGGTTTAGGGCGTTGCTTAGGCTCCGAGACCCGGGGCTCAGGATTCCGGCTTGGATTGCGATTTGGATCTTTCCGGTAGCGGACCTAATGTCGAGCTTGGGCCTCTTAGAGTGCGGGTTGGTGTACTGTAGAAGCTTACACGGATTGTTTTTGCTTTCCGTCACAGTCCCTAGTACAATTGTACCATAGCCGACACCAGAGACTACTCCAACCTACCGAGAACCCGGCCGGCAGGCCCACATCAAGCAGACTTTCTAATTCTAAGAGGTCGAAGTTGAGATGTGGATCGCCATGACATTGAGACTTCTGGCGGTAGCACATTCGAAAAAACCCTCCAAACCTAAAGGCTTTTTTAGGAGGCCCTACGGCCTGGGGTAATTGCCCTAACTTCTAGATTTGTCGGCCAAACCTTAGGTATTTGTAGGGTTTATGAAAGATTCAAAACCGTACGAAACTGTTCTGATGCCAGTAGGAATGCTGCCTCAGCTCGCGAGTATAGTGTGTACCCAGTAGGGGTTGCCTGAATTCGTCCCCTGCCGCGAAACTGCAAGCACTAAACCTTGCACAGCTCTTTGGCCACATTCCTGGTTCGCAAAGCCCTGAACGACGGTTTGCAAACCAAATCAGGTTCTAAACTTTAGTATGAACTTGAACCGTAGCCCGAACACCACAAAACCTGAACCCTTAACCCTTAAACCCTGAACTCTGTCAATGTGTAGGATCCGGAAAGCCGTCATAAAGATTCCTGAGCAATTAGAGCAGGATTTTGGTGGGTGTACGTGCTCGTATAATCATACTAAGGAACACTAGTACTAGGGACTCGTATTGGTAATCATTGTGGCCTATAAACCCTATAAACCCTGAAGCCCTAGCCCCAAACCCTGCAACCCGTGTACTTTGCATGAGGTCTGCCGGGGCGGAGCCGGTTGGGACTGGCGAGGCGCGGGGAAGAGGGGCCTGGGGTTTAAGTTTAGGGGGTTTAGGGGGTTTAGGGGGTTTAGGGGGTTTAGGGGGTTTAGGGTTTATGAACGCCGCCAACAAACAGGATGCCTTGTTACAAGGCTGTATGTAAAGAAGTCTTCATAACTAAGGAATCCTTAGGTATGCAGAGGTTTGTGGATTTCGGGCCTGGGGTTTAGGATTGAGGGTCTTGGGGGTAAGATTTCATTAGACCACCTCCCCGCTCCAGTAAAGTCCCTGTTTAGGGCCTATAGAGTTTAAGGCAATTTCCGGGTTCAAACTTAGGGCCACACGGCTGACTTGATTATGATGATGAACATCCTCACGAGGGCGCTGGAAAGACTTTTGCGCTGGAATGTGAGACTTAAGAACCCCTAAACCCTAAACCGGATTTGGCTTTCGGCGTTCAGGGCTTCCGAGGTTGAGGCATGATGCAGTAGCTTTTTCGGCACTAGGCACTAGCAGTTTCATGTTCCGAGAGGAGTGTAGGGTCAGAGCTATGGCGGCTACGGTTTAGGTTTAGGGTTCGGGTTGCAGGGGTTAGGATCACATCAAATCGGCTCCGCCCTAACCGACACACCCAAACCAATACCTAAACCCTGAACCCTTGAAGGAACCCTTAACGCTGAGCGGCGAGGAGCTTGTGACCACTGCGCCCCCTCCGACGGCTCCGACAGCGTTGGTTCAGGAAGCGCCCGGCTCTTAGCTTCCTTCGCCGGGTTTTCTTCGCGTTTAGAGTTTTGATCTGGGGTTTTAGGATTTCATAGGATTGTATAGGGGCTTTAGAACGGGTGTTGACGGTTGTGCATGGTTTGTACAGTTTTACGGGGATTAGCGAAGCCTGACAAGGGTCGTCTGCATTGTGCACGAAAGGTTTGCGGGGGCTGTGCTTTGAAATAATGGGCTTTCTACACTTTTGTTGGTGTTGCGGGAAGTTTCAGAGGCTTCCAAGAGAAGGATGTGAGCCCTGAGTTTTTTGCTTGGTTTAGGGACGGTTGAAAGGGATCTTGGAAGTGTAGGGCAGTGTAGGTTCTGTACCGACTCGGGGTCCCTCCGGGCCGATGTAATATAGAGGTGATATAATAATTATGAAAAGTGCTGTCCTTACAATCATAGAATAAGATACCCCATGACCCTATTCTGATACGTCCCCGAAAGTGACGTAACCCGAAGCCTTCAACCCTGGTAGCTGTTTCGACATCCAGGGCTGCACAAATTATCGTAAGGGTTTTTTCGAGGCGCCGGGCTTGACGCTTTCAGACTAAAGGGCTGGGGGCTCAGAGGCTCAGTTGAGGACACCCTGAGCTCAAGCCCTATAAGCCCGAACCCCCCGGCCCTTCCCCGAGACCTTCCCCGCCATAGCCTTACATCCCTCAACCCCTGGGAGAACCCAAGGCGAGATGAGTCAGGGATCCCAAATTATTAGGGCCATTAGGGCTTCTCCATCATCAAGATTCCAGTTTTTGGGGTGACTGCAAGAGTCTCTTAGAATCTGAACCTCGCATGGCTTCAGGGTTCTTGCAGGATGTCCGGGTCGGGGATGAAAGCGGCTGGAGGCTCCCCGATAAACCACCCTCCAGCTTCCCTGAGACCCCCTACCCACAATCTCAAATTGGATTAAGTAGTCTAGAAGTAGGGATATGATTGTAGTCCTACTTATAGTACTACTTACCTGATTGTCTCTGTTCAGTTGTACCATAATTTACCCGAAGACCCTATTCGCACAGCAACCCCAACCAAAAAGCCCTATACATCCCCATTCCACAACGGTAAGGATACTTGCTCAGCCTGACCCCCTGAAGCTCTAGACCTCCACCGCCAATCTGAGGCCACCAGATGCCGATTTCCCTCCTCCGATGCCCGAGTCTGCCCCGATGTCCTCGTCCATATCTCGGCTGTCCAAGATCGGGATTTCAAACGAGGCGTAATGTAATGCTAGAAGGGTTCGGCTTCACCGTGCAGGGTCGCCTAACACCCCAGCCCTTAGGCCCAAAAAATATAAACCTCAAACCCTATAAGCCCTACGCAACTATTCTCTGTTCTGTACGGCCTTCTAATAA